TTTGTTTACTATGATGCACAGGAAGCTCTGCTAAGACAAGATGTGTTTGTGTCTTTGGTACCTGACTGTGTCCGGTTCAAGGGTTTTTGTGATCTGGCAGCTCTAGGCCATAAAACACACCCAAACGTCCTTGTGGTACTGTCTAAATAGAAATCTTAGCAAAGACTAGAATAAGGTCAAATTACAGTAGTGATCCACTTGGAGGAATATTGTTTCTCCTCCCTCTCGACAGCATTTAAGGACCAGTTTTGGTTCAGTGGAGCCCATGTGTGAAAAGTTGGAGGCTTTCTGAGCCTCAAACTGGACGTCAGTGCACGCTGTGTATGGAAATGAGCTGGGAAGTACAGAAAGCCTTCCACCATGGAGAGAATTCTCTTTAAATAGAGCAGGAGGACACAGCTCTGTTTTTCCCTAACTCTCTTCCAGCCATAGCAGCAAATGGTGTGGGTCCTAGCAACCTCTTTTGACCTGTCTCTGTCCACATAGAATGTGGATTTCTTTCAGCAGCTGGTGCAGAGCCTTGTCTGGCACTCCTGGACCCAGCTTCCAATGCACATGGATGTGAGCAGGGTACGCTTGGCAGGGAAGAGGATGTGAACCAGCGTTTCAGCTGGAGTACAGCTGGAATGACAACTGTAGCCAGACTGGAGCTTTTCCCTATTCTTCCCAGCTCTTCACTTGACATGCTGTGATCAGCACCCACCGCCTGCTTCTCAGGGCTGCTTTAGTAAATCGTGTGGCTGTGTGACAGCAAAAGCTGAGTCTTACCCCAGTGTGCCTATGGAAATTGGGACCTAAACAAAACTGACCTGACCTCCTTGTTTTGGGAAGCCTTTAATAGGGCTGCTGCAAGGAGTGTCTTTCTCCCAAAGCCTTTCAGCTGTTGAAGAAGGACTTTTTATATTCCAAGACAAGAAACTAGGAAGGACATAAACCGCGTATTTAGCAGCAGTATTTCCTTGTTTGACAGCTCCCTGTGGCTGAGAATGATGTGTTTTCAACAGATGCCTGTTCAGAAATGCCTGTTTCTCAGAATGGGAGGAAAGCCTAATTCTGATCATATATTAATTAGTTATTTTGATACATTACAGAAACGGCCTCTGGATTCCAGTTTCACCTGCCCTGTCATGAGCAAAAAGCAGAGGATTGGTCGCCTGGCCAGTCGAGTCCAGCCAGCAGCCAGTGACCTCTGTGCTGCTTCCTCAGTACTGCCTCCCACAGTTCTTCCAACTTCTAACACATCTGAAACTGTCAGCTCCACTTTCCCCTGCACCTCCAAGGTGCAACAAAAGGATTTGTCTCAGACTGCTTTTGGAATCTCATCACCTGACACAGTGCAGGGGGAGTCTCTGAAGTCTAAAGGTAAGAACGAAGACAGGAAGAGGCTGGAAGCATCTCAGCTTTTGGATTTCAGTGAAGGTGTTAATGCCCTGCTTTTCATAACTCCTGTGGGGGTAAACCCTGGTGAAAAGAGAGCACTGAAACCAGGGACTGGAAATATGAAGGCTTTGCTACGCATTAGTGCTCTACTGTTGTCCCTGCTTTATCGTAATGAAAAGCTCAGGGTTTTTGTACGCCATGTACTACATTGTAACTGTTATCTTAAACACCTGCATTACCAAAGCTCAGAAACTGTTCTGCTGGAACCTTATCTAAAATGATGTTCATTTTGTAAGAATTCTCCCTCTGCAGTGCAAGAACAAAGTAATATTAAATGGATTGCTCTTGGGCAGAAACTAGCTAAAAGGAAGAGCTGGGAATAAAGAATGGATTTTTTTTCCCACTTGATTTCCAGTAAACTGACAGTTGACTGGAACTCCACATTTTCCCTCATCAAGTTTTAAGGTCTACATGCTGGAGATACAAACCTGTTACACACTCCTTGCAGACCAATTTTCTGAAACACATAGATCAGGCATCAATGATTTCCTCATGGTTATCACACTGTTATCATGGTTATCAAATGCTGTTTTACAGAAAGTCCAAAAGCTATGTAACCTGGCTTGTGATTTACTGGAGTTCTGGTTTGAACTGTACCAAGAGCTCCTCTCCCTCTTACCTGCAGAATTTATTTCTTCAAAAGCCTTAGAAGTGGTTTGACTCAAAATGACATTGAAAAGATGAAGAGAAATGGACAAAGAACACTTGATTTCTTACCATAGGGACCCACTCAGCAGGCCAGAGTTCAGTTCCTTTGTTAAATCTGTGTGTTGTCTTGTTTTAGAGGCTGGACTCAGAAATTAGAAGTCGAGTTTAGCCTGGAGGCCTCTTTAGAGAGTGCAGCTTCCTCTTGGAAGTGGTGGTGTACTTGTAGAGACGGGCGCTTTGGGACGGTCTTTCCACATTTACCCTGGACATATGCACAGTGCCCACAAGCCTTGGGATTGCCTTGGAAGTATTTGTGCTTGAATCTATAAACACATGAGCATACTTCTTCAGGAGCCACTAACAAAGTTCTGAACAAATGGAGAAGGAAAAGTCTGCTTGCACTGAAGCTTTTGTGTGGACTGAGCTGTGTCAGCAAACGCACTTGAATTTTTGGAAATTAATCACTCTCAGCAAAGCTGTTCACACAAGTTGTATTGTGCATACAGGGACTATTAATATTCCTGTTTCTATTTCTGTCCCATTTTTTACATTTCCTTTTATACTCCTGCTATACCATGTCATAATTTTAATACTAAATTTAAAAGAATCAAGTGGAGCATCACATGATAACTCTTTTCTCTCCTCAAGACTCAAAGCTCAGATAACTTAAACCCAGGCAAGAACGGCTGAGCTTTGGTAGGGCAATTGTTTGTATACACTGGCAATGTAAGCTGACAACAAATGTAAATGTGTTTTTTAAGCTTGCCACAAAACCCCAAATGAGAAGCAGAGAGAGATTATGAAGATAGCGGACTGTTCCTTCTTGTTCCAACTCACTTTTCCTTACAGCAGCTCTTGTTCTTATTTATCTTAGTCTGAAATAGTGTGGTGCTTCCTCCTGCCATTTAAAAGAACAAAAGAACAATTTACAAGTTCAGACCACTTTCCAACCCAGCCTTGCCACATTAAAGAGGAGCACTCAGTGTTTACTGCAGGTTATTGGAGCCTTAGTGCCAGTTACCACCATCCAATGTGACTGACTTTCCTGTTAAGGAGAGAGCTGAAATTCAGCCAAACTTTGGGCATCTGTAATTGTCAGGGAAAGAAGGAATGGCATGGGAAGGACTTCAGCTTTCTACTCCTCTCTAGAAACTCCTCACTAGAACCTCGATGCTGATCTGTCTCTGTCTCCATCTGTAGTCTTTTGTGCAGCTGCATCTGCTGCTGCATGACATGAATGGCTGTGCAGATGTCACCTCATGCCTTCAAAGAAGAAAAACTGAGCTGGGGTTAACACTGGGCTAGTGCAGAACCTGTAGAACAAAGTGGTCATGACCTTTTTCTGAACCTGGTACTGCCAGCTGTGAAGAAGGTCGTGTGAGCCCTGTTATTAACTTACACAGCTTCTTCCAAGTAATTTACAGTGAGAATAAAGTTCTGAAGGACTTTTACAAGCCCATCTAGTTGGTACTGTTTGACTGTGTTAAAAATTTCTTTATCCCAAGTGTCAAAATTCTGCTTTTCTGTAGGGGTTAAAGAAACTTGCACTGCCTCCACAGACCCTGCATTATCAAGGGAACAACCGGACGACTTCATGTGAGTAAAATAACAACTCTCTTGCCACTCAGCAAAGTAGGCAAAAACTCACGTATGAACACTCATGTGTAGCTAAAAAAAAGTCAGATGTGACCAAAATGCAGTGGTCGAATAAGGACTAGTTCTTTTCACTCACCTAGCTGCCTCATTGAAATACCTTCAAGTTTTAAACTGTGAGGTTGTCCCACGGTTACTGAAAGGGGAAAGAAGTGTTAAAAAGAACTTCTCATGTACTTCAGAAGGAGACTTTGAACACTGAATTTCACTCTTCTTCAAGCAGACAAAACGGGTATATGAACCCACAGTATTTTGTATTTAGATGTGAGGCAATGCAGGAGGAAAGCTGAATGCTGAATTACTGAATGTGTAAATTGGAACATCCTTCCTGTGTTTGGACTGCTTAGTGTATCTAAGCTGGAGAGGTGGGAAGGGGAGACTGCAAGCTGCAAAGTCTACCCTTCCAAAACCCCTTTATGAGCTAACAGGAGTTAACCACGGAAGGTATTTCAAACTAACTTGAAGCTCCAGCAAAATATCCAATTTCACCATAGAATTGTAGACCAAGGATCTAGAGAAAACAGAAAAGCCTCAATTTGCAGCAGGTAAAACTGGCACAGTGTAGATGTGTATAGACATTTGGAAATCTAGTTACAGCCCAGCTCGCTGTCAGAACTGGAAAACGTTTTTCTTCACCTGTTAGGACAGGTTTTAAAGTTCTTGATACAACTGTACTTCTAGACCTGAAGTAGTGCCTGAAGGGCTCAACGTGTTTCTCTGTTTCTATAGCTGTGGAGCCTTGCAACTCAATGACCCAGGTTCTGTCCAGGATAAAGTTACAGTAGGTGGAACAAGCAATAATGAGATGACCAGAGAGCACCCGATCCAGGCAGAAAAGGACTCATGCAATCAAAGTACAAAGGTCATTACACCTCATGGACAACTTTTAGGTATGGTTGGATTTCATTTTTTACTGGATGTCTGTAAATTTTTTAATTGGTGTCCAGCCCCTCACCCAACATCCTCAGAGTCCTTTTTGTCAGGGCTTCTTTCAGCCCCTTCATCCCCTAGCCCTGGATTGATACTGGGCGTTGCCCCAACCCAGGTGCAGCACCTTGCACTTGGCCTTGTTGAGCCTGAGGAGATTCCCAGGGGCCACTTCTTGAGCTCGTCCATGTCGCCTTGGATGGCATCCCAGCCCTCTGGAGTACGCAGACTTGCCGAGGGTGCACTTAATCCCACTGTCCATGCTGTTCTTAACATAGCTCAGTGCTTGAGCTTACAAACTGGGAAAATAATAAAAGCACCATCAATAGAAAGAATCTATATAAAGAACCATCCCTCCAGTATCACTCATGTAACAGTGTTTTTTAATGACCGTTTGTTTGCTCATGCCCAACTCGGTGCGTCTTTACTATCTGGATTCTTACAGACCTGGAAATGCTGAACAAATACTAGTTTATCAGTTCTGGTAAATACTTTCAAGCCAACTTCCTTGCCATCTCCCAACCTCCCATATGAGACGTTTCTTTTCCTCTTTTTTGCCCTTATTTTAGGAAGAAAAGCAGAGGTCAGAAGAGTCCCACAAAGCACTCCAGATGCCGTGCCTGAGAGGAGGAGAACAACACCCATGACCCCTGAAAATGTCCATGGCAGTCGTTGCAATGCTGTGTATCGCAGACCATTCAGGGACAGGGTGATTCATTTGCTGGCTCTGAAGAATTACAAGAAGCCAGAGTTATTTGATCACTTGCAGAGAGACGGAATCATGCAAAAGGACAGGGGTTCCCTTGGAAAGATCCTTCAGCAGGTGAGATCCTGCAGTTTATGCCAGCAATTTTTCCCTCCTGCTATTCTTTTATTCCTAATTTCTACCTCTGTCACTCCAGTCTTTCAATTAGAAATGGACAAGCAACTTACATAATGCACTTTGCCTAAGTGCATTTTATCCATATGGGCCAGTTTGTAAGTCCACGAGAGGAAAGTAAAGAAACACTGAAAACTTTTGGGGCAGAGTTTTTGTTTTGCTAGAATGGCAGGCATTATTATCTCTTTCTAATGTTGTTGCTCCTCATGTCTTATCTTCTGTGTCTCTTTTCCTTGCACTGTTTTACTGCTTAATGGAGAGAAACTGCCCAGGGGTTGTCTTGATTGTGGGAAATAGTTTGTTGTGGTACTTAATATTTCCTGTGACAAGTTTCTGAGCAGAGAAGGTTGGTAATTGCACAGGCCAGTAGTTCATTTGAATGGAGTTGGTGGCCTATCAATGGTACTTGGCTTCTCCTGCGATCTGTTGGGGTTGACTTCCAGGGAAGGGTGTTCCAGGCAAATCCTAACTGGAAAAGGTGGAGGTCTGATTTTGAGCATAGGTTTCTTTGCTGCCATATGAACTGTGCCTTTATTTGCCTTGAAACCTTTTTTTATTGAGTAACTTTTCCAGTGCTCCTTTTGAGTTCAGTTGTGCTTGCGTTTCTTTATCATAACCATTCATAAGATGCCCATGGATTCATAACAATGCAGTGGCTATTTACTTCCTTTCTAAATATTCCCTTTAGTCATAGGCTGTGGCTAAATTATGCAAACATTAATATGTCAAGGTTTTTTTATTTTATTATGTTTATTTTATTATCTTTATATTTATTATATATTTATATATTAATATATTAATATTGGTCATATTTTATTATATTCATTACTTTATTTATGTATCAAGTTCCTCTTTATCAAGGAAAAGAAGTGTTTTGGAACATAGCAGAGGGAGTAAACTTCAACATTTATACAGTTTGGGTTGATCCTACACTGAATTTTCAGCACCTCTTCCTGGGACCTGTTAGGTTTGTTGATCTATTTGCCCTGGGCAAGGGCAGATTTTTTCACCCTGAAGGCAGACACAATTTAATGAGAGCCTTGTTCTTCCATCCAAATTGAAGCAGTCCATTTCTACTTCAAGTTGAGTACAAAATCCCAAAAGCTCAGCTCCTTAGAGGGTGAAAAGTGAAAAATTTTCTCCTGTCCCATTATGTTTGGCAATGTTTAAGGAGACTATCTTGGACTTGGTTTCCTTTATGAGGGATAATCTTCCTCGAGGTCCTGGTTTGCATTCCAAAAGGGTCGTGTTAGCAGCACTACACCCTAAAAGTCTTGCTCACATTTTTCTTACCTTCAAAAGCAGGTAGCAGACCTTTTTTTCTATAAATCTAAAACCAGCAGCCTGAGCTTGAGTATTCTCTTTGAATACACCTTTAGTTCTGTTTTTCAGAAGTCAATTACTATTTCTGGGTATCTTTATTACTTTTGATTTTTTTAATCTGTTTTGGTTTAGCTCTAGGTAGGTTATCCCATACAACTGTTCAGTAGGAACCTGTAGTTTCCTCTTGGCAGGCACTTGAGAAAGAGAAGCAGTTCTGTTTGGGGACACAACTGACAACATTCTGTGGTTGCTCATGGGATGATGAAAACGTGCCTCACTCCAGGCACAGCCTGTGCTCTGCCATAGCCCTGCAGCTGTGTAAAACAAGAAGGCAGTAGGTGTCCTCCTCAAGTTGGACCAATCTGGACTTGTACATGCAGATAGTGTTTTTCAGTTCTTAGAAAAAAGAAAAGTAAAAAGAAAGAAAAAACCTGGCCTCTCATTGTATTTCAAGTGGCAAAGGCTGAAAGTTTTGGCACTATTTGCCTTCATTCTCAAAGTTGTATTAAAGACAAAAACCCCAAACATGGATGCTTGGTGCAGAGAGAGGTTTTTAGAGAGTATATTTCATACAGGCTTGCAATGATTTAGGATTTTCTTACATCAGAATTTTTTCATCCCAAGTGGACCAAACTTATTTAAAATTAGTGCTTCTCACGAGAGAGCTAGTTTGATCTTCATATCCGAAAAAAAGCCTTGGAGAACTGGTGCATGACCTTCTTTTCAACTTTGATTTAGCTTTGCAGTAGCATTTTTTGATCTGCAGTTTGCATTTGGATATCATGAGCATTTAGTTTCTTAATTATCTTCCTGCAGGTAGCCAACCTGAATGCAAAGGATAATTCCTTCAGTCTGAAGGAACATTTATTTAAAGATGTTCAGAAGGATTGGCCTGGCTACAGCGAAGTAGACAGACAGGTTTTGGAGACAGTACTTTCTAGGTAAGTTCCTTCTGTAGGGGAAGAACAAGAGCCATTTCAGAAAACTCCTGGGAAATGAAGGTGTGTCTTCCCTCTAAGGAAAG